TATGAGTGGAATTGGATGATTTGAAGCAGGGCGATGGCTCGAGGCATTTATGAGGCGTTGTGGGGGTTGGTAAGTGTACGGAGTCGTTGTGCAGGTGAGGACGCAATGTTGGCGAATAAGAAGGGTGTTTAAAGATGGGGGCGTGTGCGACGTGGAAGAGGGAGGGTGTAGTGCCGTGATATTTGTTTGCCATAGAGAGTACGTTCGGGAACGGGTTCGTGTATTGATTGGTGCTGTTGCGCGAAAGGAGGTGTTGGGTTTTTCGACGTTGCGTTGGTGGAATATTGCTTTTACGATTGCACGAAGTATACCCTTGCTTTTGCAGTCTGCATCAGGGAGAAGGGCCGTGTGTTTCGTCACGCTACCAGGTGAAAAAGGTTTTATGCTGCGACCAGGCGGTTTCAGCGTGAAGGCGGTGGTGAGATCGCATGACCTCAGCCACTCAGCCCCATTATGCATTGCAACGTGCATTGATCGTTTGCACTAGTATCGCTTGTAAGCTGTGGAGGAAGGAGGAGATGCTGGCGTGAATACAGACTAGGACGCTCGACCGTATCATGATCTTGTAATCGGAGCAGTGTAGAATTAACTGCATTGATAGGAGGGTTGCGCGTGTGCCAATATCGATGCCGGCGTTTTGCAACTGGCGTTTGGGAAGCAGGCGATGGTGTAGGGGCATGCACAGCCATAGAGAGTACGTTCGGGAACGGGTTCGTGTATTGATTGGTGCTGTTGCGCGAAAGGAGGTGTTGGGTTTTTCGACGTTGCGTTGGTGGAATATTGCTTTTACGATTGCACGAAGTATACCCTTGCTTTTGCAGTCTGCATCAGGGAGAAGGGCCGTGTGTTTCGTCACGCTACCAGGTGAAAAAGGTTTTATGCTGCGACCAGGCGGTTTCAGCGTGAAGGCGGTGGTGAGATCGCATGACCTCAGCCACTCAGCCCCATTATGCATTGCAACGTGCATTGATCGTTTGCACTAGTATCGCTTGTAAGCTGTGGAGGAAGGAGGAGATGCTGGCGTGAATACAGACTAGCTGCGAGCTGGCATTCATGATCTTGTAATCGGAGCAGTGTAGAATTAACTGCATTGATAGGAGGGTTGCGCGTGTGCCAATATCGATGCCGGCGTTTTGCAACTGGCGTTTGGGAAGCAGGCGATGGTGTAGGGGCATGCACAGCCTTGGCTGAGCACTGATACAAGGGGTGTTTGGCATGGACGCTTGATTGTGTGGTGGCAGTCAAGCACTGCTTGCAATTGCGTTAATATAATGTTGTTAATAAACCTGCGTGGGGCTCCGGAGACTCGGTGTATTTTTAGGCTTCACAAAGAATGGAATGCCAGTGAAGAAACGGTTCAGTGTTATGCATGCGCTTTGGGTTTTGCGCATGCATTGTTATAATTGTGCACATTACGTGATTAAGTGCATCGAAGTACGTCTTACGGCTGACGCGAATTTGATGTAAGCTCCAGTAACACTGGAAACTGTGATGCAGCGAAGGAAACAGCAAGCATTGCTTTGTTGAGGCCGAATATGCGTGTGAGTGGAAGCGCATGAGTTGAAGCCCAGAGATGATAGGATGCATTGATTGAGCGATGAGGGTTCGCACGTGTATGGAGGTATGGCGCAGGTGATGATGCAATGTTAGAGAATGAGAAGAGGTTATACGTATCAAGGCGGTTGCGACGCGGAAGAGGTAGGCTGGAGTGCGGTGATGAGGGTTTTGCGGCATAGAGTGTACGTTCGGCAACACGTGCGTGAAGTGATTGGTTCTGCTGGGCGAAGGGAGCTGTTGCGACCTTGTGTGCATGTTGGAGGAAAAACCGAGGAAACCCCGTTGCTACGACAATGAAATGTATATTGGTATTTGGTAGAAATGCCGTGTTTGTCGAGGATATATCAGCTGAAGTAAAGTCTGTGGTGCGACCAGGCGGTTTAGGCGTGAAGGCGGTGGTGAGATCGCACGACCGCAGCCACTCTGCCGCAATGTGCATTGCAACGTGCATTTGTCTGTCGCAGCTGTATCGTTTGTAGTCTGTGGAGGTGAAAGTTGGAGGTGTTGACGTGGATAAGAGCTAGCTGCGAGTTGGCATTGATGATCTTCTAATGGCACAACGGTACAGCTAGTTGCATTCACACGAGGGTTGCGCGTTTGCTAGTCCCTATGCCTTGTTTTGTAACCGGTGCCTGGCAAGCAGAGGGTGGTGCGAGGGCATGCAGAGCTTTGGCTGAGCATTGATAGAACGCGTTTTCGACATGGATACGCGATTGTGTGGGGCTAGTCAGGGATTCCGGCTGCATTTGCGTGAATGCGAGGCTTTCAATAAGCATGGTTGGGGCTCCGAAGACTGAGTGTTTGCACAGGTTTCACGAAGGATGGAATATAGGAGAATTGCCAGTTGAGCATTGTGCATGGGCTTTGGGTTTTCTGCATGTTGAGTAACTTCATTGTTATCATTCTGTTCGGTAGGTGATTAAGTGCATTGAACTATGCCTTAGGGTCGAAGCAGGCTTTGACCTAAGCACGCTTGACACTGGCAACTGTGAAGGAAACAGCAAGCATTGCTTTGCTGAGGCCAACTACACGTATGAGTGGAAGTGGATAAGTTGAAGCAGGGCGATGGCATGAGGCATTTAGGAAGTGTTGTGGGGGTTGGTAAGTGTATGGAGGCGGTGTCCAGTTGAGGATGCAATGTTGAAGAATTAGATGGGGCTATCAGTATCGCGGCGTCTGCGACGTAGTACAGGAAGCGTGGACAACAGTGATGAGGATATTTGTTTGCCGTAGAGAGTACGTTCGGGAACGCGTGCTTGAATCGGTTGGTGCTGTTTCGGGAAAGGAGCTGTTGTGACCTTGCACGTAGCGTGGGTTGAATATCGCTTTCACGACTGTGCACTGTTCAGCTTTTCGTTTGCTATTTGGATGTGGTAGAAGGGCCGTCTTCGTCGGCAAGGTGTCGGTTAAAGCGAAGTGTGTGCAGCGCACAAAACGTTCAGGCGTGAGGGCGGTGGTGAGTTTTCATGACCTCAGTCGCCCGGCGCCAATGTGCACCGCAACGTGCATTGACCTGTCGCAATGGTATCGTTTTTACGCTGTGGAGGTGAAATGTGTAGATGTTGTCGTGGGTACAGGCTAGCAGAGAGTTGGCATTCATGGTCTTTTAATGGGACAACTGTAGGATTAATTGCATTGATAGGAGGGTTGCCCGTGTGGCAATATCTATGCCGGGTTTCGTAACCGGCGTCTGGAAAGCAGGCGGTGTTGTGGGGGAATATTTAGCGATGGCTGAGCATTGATACAACGTGGCATTGGCACGGATAGTTGATTGTGTGGGATCCGTCAAGGATTTGTATTGCATTTGTGTTAGTGTGAGGCTGTTCATTTGCCTGATTGGGCATCGCGCGACTGACAGTTTATTGGTTTCACGATGGATGGGATGCCAGTGAAGAATCAGTTTAGCACTATCCATGGTCTGTGGGATTTCCGCAGGTTGAGTAATTGCATTGTTCCCGTTGTGTTCGACTTGTGAATACGTGCATCGAAATATGTCTTATGGTTAAAGTAGGCACTGATCTCAGCTCGCGTGACACTGAAAGCTGTCGTGCAGCGAAGGAAACAGCAAGCGTTGTTTTGTTGAGGCCGAATATACATGTGAAAGGAATTGGATGATTTGAAGCAGGGCGATGGCACGAGGCATTTAGGAAGCGTTGTGGGGGTTGGTAAGTGTATGGAGGCGTTGTGCAGGTGAGGCTGCAATGTTAGAAAATGAGAAGGGGCTATGCGGATCGAAGGGGCGCCAGCAAGGAAGGGGAAGGGTGGAGTGCGGTGGACACATGGTTGTCTTGCCACAGAGAGTGCGTTCGGCAACTCGTGCGTGAAATAACTGGTGCTGTTGCTCAAAAGGAGCTGTTGTAACCTTGTATGTAGCGTGGGTGGAATGTCTGTCTTATGAATCTGCAAAGGCTAGCATTTCTTGTGCTGTTGGTATGTGGCAGGAATGACGTGTTTGTCGTCACGGTGCCAGGTGAACCGAAGTCTGTGGTGCGACCAGGCGGTTTCAGCGTGAAGGCGTTGCTGAGGTCGCATGACCTCGGCCACTCGGCACCAATGAGCATTGATCTGTCACCGTGGTATCGTCTGCCTGCTGTGGAGGTGAAAGGTGGAGATGTTGCCGTGGATACACGCTAGCGCCGAGTTGGCATTGATGGCTTTGTAATGGTATAAGCGTAGACTTGATTGCATTGATAGGGGGCTTGCGCGTGTGCCAATCTCTGTGCCGGCTTTTTCAAGCGGCATTGGGGAAGCAGACGATGGTATATGGGGATACAAACAGGCTTTGATGAGGATTTGCACAGCGTATGCTCTACAATGATACTTGATTGGGTCGGGCCCAATCAAGGAATTAGGCTGCATTTGCGTCAATTTAATGCCCTTAATAACCATTCTTGGGGCGCTGGTAACTGATTGCTTGTTTAGGCTTCACGAAGGATGAATTGCCAGTGAAGAATCAGTTCAGTGTTGTGCATCCTCTTTGGGGTTTCCGTATGTTGAGCAACTACCCCATTGTTCTCATTCTGTTCGCTACGTGATAAAGTGCATAGAACCATGTCTTATGATTGCAGCGGGCTTTGACCTCAGCATCCGTGGCATTGGAAGCTGTGATATACTGAAGCATGAAACAAGCATTGCTCTGGTGGGGCCGAATATACGTGTGAGTGGAAGTTGATGAGTTGAAGCAGGGCGATGACACGATGTATTTAGGTGGCGTTGTGGGGGTTGGTAGGTGTATGGAGGCGCTGCGTAGGTGAGGATGCAATGTTAGAAAATGAGAAGGGGCTTTAAATATGGCGGAGGCTGCGACGGGGACGAGGGAGGGTGGAGTGTGAATTTCTTTGCCATAGGCAGTGCGTTCGGGATCGGGGGAGTGTACTTATAGGTGCTGTTGCGCTGAAGGAGTGGTTGTGACCTTGTGTTAATCCTGTGTGGAACATCCCTGGTACGACTGTGAAACGTAGAGTCGGAAACCGGGAAGGGGTTTTAAAGATAGTTCGAAAATGAGAAGGGGCTATAAAGTGGTAGCGCCTGCAAGGTGGACGACGGAGAGTGGAGTGCGGCGATAAGGGCGTTTCTGGCTGTAGAGAGTACGTTCAGGAGCACGTGCATGAACTGGCGTGTGCTGCTTGGCGAAAGCACCTGTTGTGGCCTTGTACGTAGTGTGGGTGGTGCATCCCTATTACGACTGTGCAAAGTACAGCATTTAGCTAGCTGTTGGTATGTTGCAGAAGCGCCGTGTTTGCCGTCAAGGTATCAGGTGAAGAGGATTGTGTGCTGCGACCAAGCGGTTTCGGCGTGAGCGTAGTTTCGAGATCGCATGAACTCAGCCGCTCGGCCCCAATGTGCATTGCAGTTGGCGTTAAACTGTCGCAGCGGTATCGTTCGTCTGCCGTTGAGGTGAAAGGGGGAGTTTTTGCCGTGGATGTAGGGTACCGGAGAATTGGTTTTGACGGTTTTGTAATTTCACAAGTGTAGAATGAATTGCAATGATAGGAGGGTTGCGCCTGTGCCTATCTGCGATGCAGTGAAGGATACAGCAAGTTTTGCTTTTTTGAGGACGTATATGCGTGTGAGTGGAAGTGGATGGGTTGAAGCCCAGCGATGGCATGAAGTATTAAGGAGGCGATGTTGGTTCGTAAGTGTATGGAGGTACGGCTCAGGTGTGGATTGAAAGTTGCAGAATGAGAATGGGCTAAAAGTATAGCGGCGTCTGCGAGGTGGACGAGAGAGGGTGGAGTGCGGTGATGAGGTGATGTGTTTGCCATAGGAAGTGCGTTAGGGAACTTGGGTGTGTACTGATTGGCGCTGTTGCTAGAAAGGAGCTGTTTACTGTTGGCGGTAGGTAGAAGGGCCGTGTTTGTCGTCGCATTATCGGCTGAAAAGGATTGTGTGTTGTGACCAGGGCGTTCAAGCCCGAAGGGGGTAGTTAGACCGCATAACCCAAGCCACTCGCCCGCAGTGCGTATTCCGACATGCTTTAATCTGTCACAGTGGTATAGTTTGCAAGCTGTGGAGGTGAAAGGCGGAAATGTTGGCGTGGATACGTGCTAGCGGCGAGTTGACATCGATGCTCTTGTAGTGGCACATGTGTAAAAATAATTGCATTGATAAGAGGACTGCGCGTGTGCCACTCTCTATGGCGGCGTTTTAGCCAGCATTCGCATGCAGAGCTTTGGGTGAGCATTGGTACAACTTGCGTTCGACATGGATACGTGATTGTGTTGTGCCAGTCAAGGATTTTGGTTTGCATTTGAGTTAATCTAATACTGTTAATAAGTCCCCTGAGGATCTGTCGAATGAATGTTTGTATAGGCTTCACTAAGGATGCAGTGTCAGTGAAGAATCCGTTCGTTGTTATCCGTGCGCATTGGGTTTTGAGCATGCTGAATAACTGCCCTGTTATTGTTGTGCCCTCTGTGTGATTACTTGCATCGAGCTATTTCTTATGGTTGATGTGGGCTTTGATCTCAGCTCGCTTGACAGTGGAAGATGTGATGCAGTGAAGGAAACAGCATGCATTGCTTTGTTGAGGCCGAGTATGCGTGTGAGTGGAAGCGAATGAGCTGAAGCGCAGAGATGACATGATGCATTGATTGAGCGATGAGGGTTCGCAAGTGTATGGAGGTATGGCGCAGGTGATGATGCAATGTTAGAGAATGAGAAGAGGTTATACGTATCGAGGCGGTTGCGACGCGGAAGAGGTAGGCTGGAGTGCGGTAATGAGGATTGTGCGGCATAGAATGTACGTTCGGCAACGCGTAGGGGAAATGATTGGCTCTGGTGCGCAAAAGGAGCTGTTGTGATCTGGTGTGGAGCTTGCGTTGAACGCCCCTTGTACGACAATGAAATGTGGTTGGTTGGTACTTGTGGACGCACATGGCGCGTAGCGCCTGAGGATGCACTGCTGGAGAATGATTAGGGGCTATAAGTATTGCGGCGGCTGGGGCGTCGAAGAGGAAGGGTGGAGTGCGGTGATGAGATTTGTTTTCAATAGGCCGTGCGTTCTGTTTCGCCAGCTTATGCTGATTGGTGCTGTTGCGCAAACGGAGCGTTTGTGAAGCTGCATATTAGGTTGCGTTGTGCGAGTGTGCAACGTAGTATTTCGTGTGCTGTAAGCATGTGGTAGAAGGGCCGTGCGAAAAGGTATCAGCTGAAGGGAAGGGTGTGGTGCGACCAGGCGCTTCCGGCGTGAAGGCGGTGGTGAGATCGCAGGAACTCTGACTCTGGTCTTCAATGTGCATTGCAACGTGCATTGATCTACTACAGTGGTGTCGTTTGTCTGCTGTGGAAGTGGAAGGCCGGCATGTTGGCGTGGATAGAGGCTAGCGGCGAGTTAGCATTGATGGTCTTGTAATAGCACAACTGTAGACTTGATTGTATTGATAGGAGGCTCGCACGTCTGCCACACGAACCTTTTCAAGCTTCAATTGGGCAGCAGGCGATGGTGTGAGGGGATACTCAGCTTTGGTTGAGCATTGGTAGTATTTGTGGTTGAGATTGTTGCTTCACTGTGTGGAGCCAGTCAAAGATTTAGGTTGCTTTTTATGAGACTGTTAATCAGCCTGTTTGGGGCTCTCTCGACTAACCGTTTCTACAGGCTTTACGAAGTATGCAACGCCACTTCAGCGTTATGCATGCACTTTGGGTTTTCGCCTGTTGAGTAAATGCAATGAAATCATTGTGCCGCCCTTCCGATTGGGTCCTTTGAACTCAGATTTAAAGCGGTCTTTCATCGCAGCAGTCGCCACACTGGAAGCTGTGATGCAATGAAGGAAACAGCAAGCATTGCTTTGTTGAGGCCGAATATACGTGTGAGTGGAAGTGCAAGTGTTGAAACTGGGCAATTGCATGACGTATTTAGAACGATGATGAGCGGTTCCACGTGAGGTGTTGTGCAGGAGAGGAAGGAATGCTGGAGAATGAAAAGGGTCCGTAAAGATGGCGGCGGTTGCGGCATGGAAGAGGTAGGGTGGCATGCACTGATGAGGAGGTTTATTTGCCATAGGCAGTGCGTTAGGGATCACGAGCGTGTACTGATTGGTGCTGTTGCGCGAAAGGAGCTGTTGTAACCTTGTACGTCGCCTGGGTGGAATGCCTGCCTTACGAATGTGCAAATCATACCATTTCGTGCTCTGTTGGTATGTGGCAGAAAGGGCGTGTTTCTCGTCAATGTGTCAGCTAAACCAAAGTGTGTGCTGCCACCAGGCGATTTCGCCATGAAGACGGTGGTGAGGTCGCATGACCTCAGTCACTTGACACCAATGTTGCAACAATGCCAGTGGCATCATTAATAGGCCGTGGAACTGAAGGCTGGAGATGCTGGCGTGGATACATGAGCGCCGATTTGGCATTGATGATTTTGTAATGGTAGAATTATTTGCATTGATAGCAGGGTGGCGTGCGTGCTAATCTCTATTCCGGCGTTCTGGCCGGCTTGTGCGAAGCAGTCGATGGTGGGAGGGGATAAACAGGCTTTGGGGAGGATTTACAACGTCACAATGATACTTGATTGCTTGGGGCCAGCCAAGGATTTAGGTTGCATTTGCGCTGGCGTCATGCTGTTAATAACCCTTCTTGGGGGCCTCGCAACTAAGTGTTTGTATAGGCTTCACGAAGGACGGAATGTCAGTGAAGAGTCAGTTATGCGTTATGCATACGCTTTGGGTTTTCGCCTGTTGAGTAACTGCATTGTTACCATGTTGCCCGCTAAGTGATTAGGCGCATCGAACTATGTCTTGTGGTTGAAAGCCATTTTGAGCTCAGCATCCGTGGCAGTGACAGTTGTGATGCACTGAATGAAACAACAGGCATTGCTTTGTTGAGGTCGAATATACCTGTGAATGGAAGTGGATAAGCTGAATCAGGGCGATGGTATGACGTATTTAGGACGGCGATGAGCGGTTCCAAGTGTAATGGGTATGGATGCAGGCGAGGATGCAATGCTGGAGAATGAGAAGAGGGTATAAGTATCGCGGCTGTTACGACGTGGAAGAGGGAGGGATGAATGCACTGATGAGGAACTGTATTTGGCATAGGCTGTAAGTCCGGGATGGAGAGCGTGTATTTGTTGGTGCTAGTGCGCGTATGGAGCTGTGGTGGCCTTGTAAAAAGCGTGGGTGGGCCCTCGCTGATACGACCTTGCAAAGTAAGCATTTCGTGTGCTGTTGGCAAGTGGTAGAAGGGCAGTGTTTGTCGACACGGTACAGGTGGAGAGGAGTTTGTGCAGCGACGAGGCAGTTCCGGAGTGAAGCCGTTGTTGAGATCGCATGACCTCAGCCGCTCTGCACCAATGTGCATTGCGCTGTACGTTTATCTGTCGCAGTGGTATCGTTTGCAGGCTGTGGAGGTGAAAGGTGGAGTTGTTGGCGTGGATGTAGGCTACCGGCGAGTTGGCATTGACGGTCTTTTAACAGCACAAATGCAGAATTAGTTGCATTGATAGGAGGCGCGCGCTTGTGCCAGTCTCTCTGCAGGTTGTGCAAGTGTCGTTTGGGAAGCAGGAGCAGTTGTTGGGGCGTACGCAGCCTTGGCTGAGCACTGGTACAATTTGTGGTTGAGACGGTTGGTCAGTAAGTGCACTGTAATCATTGTGCTCGCAACGTGCTGAAGTGCATCGAAATATATCGTCTGGTTGAAGCGCGTTTTGATCTCAGCATCCGTGACACCTGAAGCTGTAATGCAGTGGGGGAAACAACAAGCATTGCTATGTTGAGGCCAAATATACGTGCAGTGAAAGTACAGGAGTTGAAACTCAACGATAGCATGAGACATTTAGGAAGCGTTGTGCGGATTTGCACATGTATGGGGGCGTTGGGCACGTGATGCAGCAATAGCAGAGGATAAGAAGGGGCTATAAGTATCGCGATGGCTGCTACATGGAAGAGGGAGGGTAAAGTGCGGTGGTCAGGAGGTTCGTTTGCCATAGGCAGTGCGTTCGGGATCGGGGGGGGTGTATTGTTTGGTGCTGTTGCGTGAAGGGAGCGGTTCTGACATTGTATGGGTTTTGCGTGCCAACTCCCTGGCACGCGTGTGAAAAATATATTTAGAAGCTCAGAAGACATTTTAATATTAGTTACAATAAAATGGGGCTTTAATGATGCCAGCGACTGTGGCGTCGAAGAAGTAGCGAGGTTATGAAGGGGGTTCTTGCCATAGAGAGTACGTTCAGGAGCGCGTGCCTGCACGAAAGAAGCTGTTGTGGCCTCGTACGTAGCATGGCTGGGAATTCGCTGATACGAATTTGCTAAGTAAGCATTTCGTGTGCCGTTGACAAGTGGTAGAAGGGCCGTGTTTGTCGGCATGGTACAGGTAGAGAGGAGACTGTGCTGCGCCCAGCCGGTTCCGGCGTGAAGGCGGTGGTGACAATGCATGACGTCAGCCACGCAGCACCAATGTGCATTGCAAGACGTACTGATCTGTCGCAGTGGTATCGTTTGCACGCTGTGGAGGTGAAAGGCGGAGATGTTGCCTTGGATACATGCTAGTGGCGAGTTGACATTGATCGTCTCTTAATAGCACAACTGCCGAATTAATTGCGTTGAGGGTCGCGTGCGCGCTGAACTCTACGCCGGCTTTTTTAAGTAGCGTCTGGGAAGGAGGCGATGGTCAAAGGGCATACCCAGCTTTGGCTGACCATTGGTACAACTTGTGGTTCAGATAGTTCTTATAGTGTGTTGCAACCGTTAAAGAATTAGGTTGGATTGGTAAATGTGAGTATGTTAATAAGCCTGCTTGACGCTTTCGCGACAGATTGTTTGTATAGGTTTCTCGAAGGATGGAATGTCAGAGAAGAATCACTGGCTATCCTTGCGCTTCGGGTTTACGCGTGATCAAGAAGTGCATTGTAATCATTGTGCTCCCAATGCGCTTAAGTGCATCGAACTATGCCGTATGCTTGAGGAGGGCTTTTATATCAGCATCCGTGACACTCGAAGCTGTGATGCACTGAAGGAAAGAGCAAGCATTCCTTTGTCAAGGCCGAGTACACATGTGAGCGAAAGTACAGGAGTTGAAGCCCAGCGATGGCGTGAGGGATATAGGAACCGTTGTGTGGGTTGGTGAATGTATGGAGACATGGCCCGGGTGACGACGGGATGATGGAAAATGAGAAGGGGCTTTGAAGATGGCGGCGGCTGAGACGTGGAAGACGGAGAGTGGAGTGTGGTGATGGGGGGATTTTCTTGCCGTAGGCAGTGCGTTCGGGATCGGGGATGTGTATTGGTTGGTGCTGGTGCGCGAAAGGAGCCGTTGTGGCCTTGTAAATAGCGTAGCTGGGAAAGCGCTGGCCCGAATTTGCAAAGTAAGCATTTCGTTTGCTGTTGGCATGTGGTAGAAGTGCTGCGTGTACCGCCAAGGTACAAGTGAAGAAGAATGTGTGCTGGGATTTGGACAAATCAGATCAATTCACGTTGGTCGGCCCCAACGTGAATTGATCTATCGCAGTGGTATCGTTTGTAGGCTGTGGAGGTGAAAGGTGGAGTTGTTGGCGTGGATGCAGGCTAGCGGCCAATTGGCATTGATGGTCTTGTGGTGGGACAAGTGTAGAATTAATTGCATTGATGAGAGGGTCGCGCACGTGCCAGTCTCTCTGCAGGATTTTTACGGGGCGTTTGGGAAGCAGGTGATGGTATTAGAGTGTACACCGTCATGGATGAGTGTTGGGACAACGTATGTGAGATGGAGGGTGGATGTTTGAGGGTGTGGTGCCAGTCAAGGATTTGGGATGGAGTCGAGGATGTGAGGCTGTTAGTAAGCCTATTTGGTGTTCGGCGGACTGAGTGTTTCGATATGTTTCACGAAGGATGGGGTGTTAGTGAAGAGTCAGTTCAAGGTTATGCATGCGTTTTGGGTTTCCGCATGTTGAGTAACTGCATTGTTATCATTGTGTCCGCTGTGTGATTAAATGCATCGAACTATGTCTAATGGGTGCAGTGGGCTTTCATCTCTGCTCGCGTGCAGTGAAAGCTGTGATGCAGAGAAGAAAACAGCAAGCATTGCTTTGTTGAGGCCTAATTCACCTGAGTGGGGAAGTACATGAGTTGACGCAGGGCAGTGGCATGAGATATTTAGGAATCGATGTGGGTTAGTAAGTGTATGGGGGCGTTGAGCAGGTGAAGATTCAATGTTGGGGAATGAGAATTGGCTATGAGACCTTAGAAAGTACTTTCGGGATCGCTGGTGTGTATTTATTGGTGCTGTTGCGCGAAAGGAGCCGTTGTAAAGTTGTATGAGTTTTCCGTGGAACATCCCCGGTAAAACTGCGAAACGTTTAACCCTTGGTTTCCTATTTGCATGTGGTAGAATGGCTATGCTTCGTACCATCTAATGGAGAATGTCCTGCGACCAGGAGGTTTTGGCGTGAAGGCGGTGGTGGGGTCGCATGACCTCAGCCGCCCGGCAACAATGTGCGTTGCAGTTTGGGTTGATCTGTCGCAGTGGTATCGCTTTTACGCTGTGGAGGTGAAAGGCGGAAATGTTGTGTTGGCATTGCATGCTAGCTGCGAGTTGGCATTGATGGTCTTGTAATAGGACAAGTATATAATTAATTGCATTGGTTGGATGGTAGCATGTGTGTCAATCTCTATGCCGGCTTTTTTGTCGGGTTTTGGGAAGCAGGCTTAGGTGTGAAGGTATAAAAACGCTTGGTTGGGCGTTGGTACGACGTATGTTCGCCATGAATCCTTGACTGTGCGAGACCACAAGGATTTTGGTTGGATTCGTTAGTGTGAGGCTGTTAATAAGCCTGCTTGGGGCTTTCGCTACAGCGTATATGATTGGTTGATTGCGTGGGGCCAGTCAAGGATTTAGGTTACATTTGCGTTAATGTAATGCTATTAATAAGCTTGCTTGGGGCCCTCGCGACTGAGTGATCGTTATGTATGGGCTTTGGGTTTTGCGGATGTTGAGTAACTGCATTGTCATCATGGTGCCTGCTACGCGATTAACTGCATCGAACTACATTTAATGGATGAAGCGTATTTTGAGCTCAGCATCCGTGGCAGTGGAAGCTGTGATGCAGCGAAGGAAACAGCAAGCACTGCTTTGTTGAGGCCGACTGTATGTGCAAATGGAAGTGGTTGTGTTGAAACCCAGCGATGGCTTGAGGTATTTAGGAGGCGTGGTGGGGGTTGGTAAATGTATGGAGGCGTTGTGCACGTGATGATGCAATGTTACAGAATGAGAAGGGGCTATAAGTGTCGCGGCGGCTGCGAGGTGGAAAAGGGTGAGTGGAGGACGGGGATAGGGGGTTTTGTGTGGCATAGAAAGTATGTTCGACAATGCTTGCGTGAATCGACTGGTGTTGCTGCGAGAAAGGAGGGGTTGTGGCCTTGTACGTAGGGAGTTGGAATATAGCTCTTGTGCCTGTGCAAAGTATAGTTTTTCGTTTGCTGTTGGCATGGAGCAGGAGGTGTGTTTTCGGTTGAAAAGATATCATCTGACGAGGAGTGTGTTGTGCACCAGGCGGCTTCAGCGTGAAGGTGGTGCTGTGATCGCATCAGCTCACAAACCCAGCAGACGTGTGCATTGCAACGTGCACTGACCTGTGGCAGCGGTATCGTTTGCAAGCTGTGGAGGCAAGCTGTGGAGGTGAAAGTTGGAAATGTTGGCGTGGATACAGGTTAGCGGCGAGCTGCCATTGATGTTTTTGTAATGTCACAAGTGTAGAGTTAATTGCATGGATAGGAGGGTTGCGCGTGTGCCAATCTCTATGACGGGCTTTTGTAACCGGCTTTGGGGAAAGACGCGATGGTGTGGGGGCATACACAGCCTCTGCTGAGCATACAACGTTTGGCTGGCATTGCTACTTGATTGCGTGGTGCCAGGCACGGATTCAGGTAGCATTTACGTTAATGTAGGGCTGTTAATTAACGTTTTGGGGGCTCTCGCGACTGTGTGTTTGTATAGGTTTCGCGAATGATGATATGTCGGTGAAGAATCAGTTCAGCGTTAACGCATGTGCTTTTCGCATGTTGAATAACTGCATTGTTATCATTGTGCCCCCTATGTGATTAGGTGCATCGTTATCTCCTATGGTTGAAGTTGGACTTCCTCTGCCGCTCTGATGCACTAAAGGAAACCGCACGCATTGCTTTGTTGAGGCCGAATATGCGTGTGAATGGAAGTGCATGAGTTGAAGCACGGCGATGATATGAGGTATTTTGGAAGGGTTGTGAGGGTTCGTTAGTGTGGAGCGCTAACTATCGGGGCGGCTACGAGGTGGAAGAGAGCCGGTGGAGCGCGGTGACCAGCGGATTTGCTTGCCATATGCAGTCCGTTTGCGATCGCGGTTGTGTATTGATTGGTGATGTTGCGAGAAAGGAGCTGTTGTGGCCTTGTACGTAGCGTGGGTGGAATATATACTTCTTACGCCTGCGCAAAATATGGCTCTTCGTTTGCTGTTGGATTGGAGCAGGAGGTGCGTTTTTTTAGTTGAACAGAGATGAGCTGAAGGGGAGTGTGTTGTGCGACTATTCGGTTTAGGCATGAAGGCGGTGATAGGTTCGCATGTCCTCAGGCCCTCGGCCGCAATGTAAATTGCAAGGTGAGCTGATCTGTGGCAGCCGTATCGTTTGTAAGCTGTGCAGGTGAGAGGTGGAGTTGCTGCCTTGAATACATACTAGCGGCGAGTTGGTATTGTTTTCCTAATGACACAAGTGTAGAAGTAGTTGCATTGATAGGTGGGTTGCACTCGTGCGAGTCTCTATGCCGGGTTTTTGTAGCCGGCAATTGGGAAGGAGGTGACGGGTGAGAGAATAAAAAGGCTTGGCTGAGCATTTGCGCAACGCGAGTTCGAAGTTGATACTTGATTGTGTGGTGCCAGTCAAGGATTTAGGTTGAATCTGCTTTTATGTGAGGGTGTCAATAAGCCTTCTTGGGACATTCGCGACTGGGTGTTTGTATAGGCTTTACGAAGGATGGGATGCCGTTGAAGAATCAGTTCAGTGTTATGCATACGTTGAGGGTTTTGCGCATGTTGAGTAACTACATTGTCATGGGGCCCGATATGTGATTAACTGCATCCGACCTTTCCTCAGGACAGAAGCTGGGTTTGATATCAGCCCCAGGCACTGGAGGCTGTGATGCAGTGAAGGACGCAGCAGCCATTGCTTTGTTGGGGCCGAATATACGTGTAAGTGGAAGTGCAGGAGTTGATGTTCAACGATAGCACCAGGTATTTATAAACCAATAGGGCTTCTTCAGTGTATGGAAGCATGGCACGGGTGAGGATGTAATGTTCAAGAGTGAGAAGGGGCTTTAAAGTTGGCGGCGTCTGCGACGAGGATGACGGAGAGTGGAATCCGGTGATGAGGGGATTTCGTGGCATAGCTAGTGTGTTAGGGATCGGGGTTTGCATTGATTGGTGTTGTTTCGCGAAAGGAGCTGTTATGACCTTGCAGTGAAGCTTGCGTGGAAAATCTCCGGACCGAATGTGGAAAAGGATAGCTTTCCGGTTCCTCTTTGGATGCGATAAAAAGGGCATGCTTGCCGCCAAGGTATCAGGTGAAGCGAAGTATGTGCTGACACCGAGCGTTTTCGGCGTGAAGGCGGTGCTCAGGTCGCATGACCTCAGCCGCCCCGCACCAATGTGCATCGCAAAGTGCGTTGATCTGTCGCAGTGGTATCGTGTGTATGCTGTGGAGGTGAAAGCTGCAGATGTTGCCTTGCATAGAGGCTGGAGGCGAGGTGGCATACATGGTCTTGTAAAAACACAAATGTAGAATTAGTTTCAATGATAGGAGGGTAGTGCATGCACCAGTTTTTTGTTGGGCCTTGTAGCCAGCGTTTAGGATGCAGGTGATGGTGTGAGGGTATACAGAGCCTTGGCTGAGCATTGGTACGACGTGTATTCCACATGGATATTTGATTGCGTGGTGCCAGGCAAGGATTTAGGTTAGGTGCATGAATACGAGGCTGTGAATAAGCCTGCTTGGGGCTCTGTCGACTGAGTGTTCGTATAGGTTTCACAAAAGGTGCAATGTCAGTGAAGAACCAGTTCAGCGTTATGCATGCTCTTTGGGGTTTCCGCTTGCTGAGCAACGGCATTGCTATCATGGTGCCCACTATATGATTTTAAGTGGATCGAACTAAGTCTTATGGTGGAAGTTGAGTTTGACCTCAGCCCGAGGCACTTGAATCTGTGATGCAGTAAAGGAAGCAGCAAGCGCTGCTTTGTTGAGACCGAATATGCGTGTGAGTGGATTTGGATGAGTTGAAGCAGGGCGATGGCATGAGGTATTTTGGAAGCGTTGTGGGGGATCGTAAGTATGGAGGCGTTGGGCAGGTGAGAATGCACTGTCGGAGGATAAGGATATCGGAAATACGGATCGCGGCGGCTGCGAGGTGGAAGAGGGAGGGTAAAGCGCAGTGATGCGGTGATGCGCTTGTCTTAGGCAGTGCGTTCGGGGTCGGGGATGTGTATTGGTTGGTGTTGAGGCTCATTAGGAGCTCTTGGGAGCTTGTACATAGAGTGGGTAGTACATTGCATTTACCATGGGTCTTCGTTTGCTGTTGGCATCGAGCAGAAGGTGTGTTCTTGGTTTGGCTAGATATCTGGCTAGATATCAGCTGAAGGGGAGTGTGTTGCGCTATTACTATTTGGGCGTGGAGGAGGCGGTGATGTCGCACGACCGCAGCCAGTCGGCCCCACTGTGCATTGCAACGTGCACTGATCTGTCGCAGCGATATTGTTTTTAAACTGTGGAAGGAGAAAGGTGGAGATATTGGCGTGGATACAGGCTAGCGGCGAGTTGGCATTGATGGCCTCGTAACAGCACAAGTGTAGAATTCATTGCAGGGTAGGAGGGTCGCGCATGTGCCAATCCCTGTGCCCGCTTTGCAGCCGGCTTTTGGGAAGCAGGCGATTGTGCCAGGGCGTGCAGAGCCTTGGTACAACGTGGGGCTGGCATGGATACTTGACTTTGTGGTGCCAATGAAGCACTGCGGTTGCATTGTGAGGCTGTTAGTAAGCCTGCGGCGGGTTCGCTTCACGTATAGGCTTCACAAAGGGTGCAATGTCAGTGAAGAATCATTTCAGCGTTATGCATGCACTTTGCGTTTTCCGCATGCTGAGTAACTGCATTGTTATCATGGTGCCCGCTATGTGATTTTAAGTGCATCGAGCTATCTCTTATGGTTGAAGGGCGCTTTCCGCTCAGCCTCTGTCATCCACTGAAGGAAACCGCACGCAGTGTTGAAGCCGAGTGTACGTGTGAGTAGATTCGGATGAGTTGAAGCAGGGCGATGCCATGAGGTATTTAGGACGCGTTGTGAGGGCTCATCAGTCTACGGAGGCGTTGTGCAGGTGAGGATGCAATGTTAGAGAATGAGAAGGGGCTTTAAGTATCGATCCGGCTGCGGTGTGGAAGAGAGCGGGTGGAGTGCGGTGACCAACGGGGTTGTTTACCATAGATAGTGTGTTCGGGAACGCGTGTGTGTATTAATTGGTTCTGTTGCGCCAAAGAAGCGGCGCTGACCTTTCACGTATCGTATGTGAAATATCGCTCTAACGACTGTACAAAGTGTAG